CCCCAAAACCCCAAAACCCCAAAACCCCTCAATCAAAGTATCGATAAAAAATTATTAATTCGAATAATTATAGATTTTAAAAAGATAAATTTGTAAAATGTCAGTTTACAGTGGATTTGCCACTAGGCATTAAGAGAATACTTACTTTTAATTTGTTGAGAAACTGATTAAACTCATGGCAGCAGAAATACTAAGCTGAAAGTACGGATGTAAGTAGATATTGAAGAAGATATATAAATGTAGAGGAACTTTAATTAGATGAGGATAATTGGGCTAGGAAACTCGTTAAGATCTTTTCTGCTTTGGCAATGATGGAAAAATATAAGTATCTTGATCCTCATTTTTCTAGGGGTATTTCAGATCTTGCTTTATATCTGAAGCAAATATATGTAACAATTATAGATTCTTAATTAAAATTATGCTAGAAAGGAAAATTCGATAATTAATCAGTATCTGGAATAAGTTAGCTTTCAAGCTATGAAAAATCTAGCAATAATTTTTCAATCGGTAAATTAATGCATCCTGCAAAGCAAATCGATGAATATAGCAATTAGAACAATAATAATCATATTATGATAACCTAAGATATGCCCAGAACTACTGCAGATACAAAATCTACAAATTCTGGTAGATATGAGAAATAGGCTACCATAAGCCCTAAGAATGAATCATAAAATAATTCCTCCAAAGCCAAAAACAAAGGGTCTAATAATAGTACCAATAAATAATATAATTAGCAATTGCTGTTTCAGCTTAATCCAAAGCAAATAAAACCTTCAAGCCACATTTAGAAACATATTGTACAGGAAGAGACTAATGAAGAGGATGAGCCTGGCATAAGTGCTGTTGAAAATGACAGTCCAATCAAAATGTACTTGCATGAAAGTTAACATGAAAGAAGCAAAACGGAGTAGTCTAACAATAGAAATTACCATAAAACAATTATGAATAGTACTCACTAAAACCATTAGTAACCATAAGGAAAAAATATAAATGAAAGTAGTATATTGATCAATAATCTTGGGAACTAGTCCTTTTAGCTATATGATTTTAAAAGATAATAGCAGTATCCAGAATACCCATAAAATTTATATAATAGAGAGCTTTAATCATCTCTAAGTCCCAGATTACAATAAAAGCAAGAGTTGCAGACAAAATATTCAAAATTTAGTTCAAGTGAATTGTAGTAAATTCTGACAAAGAAGTCTTAGAGCAGAATGACTCGTAACTAAATGAATCAAACTAATAACAAGTTCAGAGTTCATTACAAACATTAAACAAATAATTCTCTAAATTTATCAAAGATAAATGATTTAGATCCAAAAGACATTGAGAGTATCAAGTTGGAATTGATAAATGATCAGTTTGCAAAGAGAAGCTAAAATAATGCAAACAATGGCAACTTTGCGCATAGTTAAGATTTCAGTATCTTAATGCGAAGGACTTAATACAACAGAAGCTAATTAGAAAGGAATAGTAAAAGTTATATGACAAGTAATTCAGAGATTGATAAGCCAATTAATAATTTAAAATCTAGCAATGATCCCAATAAAAAGAAAGAGTCTCATATTTCAAGAAACCAGCCAAGAATAATTAATAAAAGTCTGAACATGAATTCAGATATCTAGAGTCCTTATTTTGACGAAGAAAATAAAAATTTAAGCAGGAATAATCCAAATAATGATAAAAAATTTCATACCTACTAATTGAATAGCAACTCTGAATATGATGAACCAGTTTAAAGGTAATCTCGCAAGTTTCAATAACAAAATGAATAACCAAAAAGTGATTATAATCCCTCAAGTGATGCCAATAATGCAGTGCCTAAGAAGCCTAAATTTATTAATGGCAAAAACTACCCAAGTGTAAATATTAAGAATTACTAAGACAAATGAACCAGGTAATTTACATGCAATGATTAGTAATATAAATAAAAGAATTTTTTATATTTCTTAATTTAATATTCATTAATTTACATATAAAGCTAAATGAGGGGTTTTGGGGTTTTGGGG